GAGAGCGGGTGGGGAGGAAAGAGAGACAGAGAAGAAGAGACGATGGAGAGGATGGTAAAGAATGACTGATCAGGAGAGAGAGAGAGGATCCAGAGAGAGAGAGCAGAGCTAAGATGACGAGACTGAGGAGAATAAAGAGAGAAGAAAGAGAAGCATAAAAGAAAAGCTATTACGCACAAGAGATATATATATGATATCATCCCATTGAGAGCTAAAGAGCAAAGAGAAAAGAATTCGTTGGTGAAAAATAAAATACTATCCCGCATCCGCGCAGAGGCCGGCAAGCATAATATTGAAGAAATTTATACGACATCCGGGAATAATTCACTACCACCGGCGGAGTTTCCATGCATAAATATAGCGCCGTTGTGGCACTGGTGCCCATCCTTCTCGCCGACACGGACTGTATTGCAAGCTGTGTGTGTAAATACTTTCTTGTGCTAAGCCCTTCCTGGCTCGTGTGGTTTCGGTGTTTCACAGTCGGTGGAAGATCTTAAGTGCTTCTGCTGTCTCCTCGGTCGCTAGACCCGATTTGTCTCGCAACACTTGGTTGGGCGTTGGTTGTCCTTGATCGGCCCTTGCTAGCATTCACACACGTCCTTGCGTTCCAGTAGTGCCTGGCGGTACGCGTGTGGCAACAGAGCACCTGGTGGCTCTATGATCAACTAAGTTTTCCCCTCTTGTGAGAGTTTTTGTGTCTTCCTCCCATCTAGATAGCGCGTTCCCGATATGTCTGCCGTGTTTGTCTATTCAATGATCTCCTTTTATGTGCTTTCTTGCGGTTCCTCTTTGCAAGATTGTCTGGTATACAAGGGTTGATTGCCTGTGTTCATGCCTTTCTGCGCTTGTGCTGAACTCCTATCCGGCTGCGGGGGCTGCCTTGTTTCTCTCTTTAATTGTGCTTTGGCTATTGTTATGCATAGTGTTTTGTTTGCACTTTATTTGTTTTTTGGTCGCCCACAAGGTACAGGTTTCATAACTCCCTCTAGTTGTTTTTCCACATCTTCATCTATTTTTGTTGGAGCGTGGCAGGTGCAGTTTCGCGATTGAGGTTGATGCAGGCTCCTCGGTTTTGAGGCCTTCGTGTTGAGGTCTTTACTTAAGGTATCGTTATGACTTTCCGCAGCACCTCTTATCTTTGAACACTACTCTTTCTTGTCAGTCTAGGCAGACCAGTGACTATGTTTTTGAAACGTGTTTAACTAGGCTCTTCATGCTTAGAGTTGTCATGTGTCTTTCTGCGGAGGTTCCATTACCAGGTCTGCTAGGACGTTCATTTGGCTATGGTCCATCTTATGATGTTCCTCATCATGGCGAGGTTTAAAGGGGTAGGTGGGCGGCAGCCTCACGCTTTTCACCCTACTCTCGGTGGTGCATATAAAATCCTTTTTATTTTTATCATTTCTTTTCGTCTCTCCTGAAGGTTCTCTTTCAGCTCAAGCCTGTCTTCTGCAACAGTGCATTGTTGAATCCACTTCATCTTCTCGGCCTCCCTTCCTTCCCTCTTTCCTCGCTCCGTTCTCTCTCTATCCAGTTACTTAAGTACTCCTGTAGTCTGTTCCGCCTCGCGTTACTCGCAAGATGCAGCCCCATCACACTTCTCTCTCTCCGTTCTCCCTTCTTCCCACTCTCTTCTCCCTCTCTCTCTCTCTCCCCTCTTCCCACTCTCTTCTCCCTCCTCTCTCTCTCCCTTCCTTCTCCCTGTCCCCCCTCCTCTTCTCTTCGATCTTCTCTTCCCCCCTCTCCTTCTCCTCCCTTTCTCCCTCTTTTCTCCTTTTCCCTCCCTCCCTCCCTCTCTCTTCTTCTTCTTCCTCTCCTCCCTCAGCCCCTCTTCTCCTTTCCCTCCTCCCCCCTCTTCCTTTCCTTCCCCCCCTCTCTCTCTCTCTTTCTCTCCTCCCTCCCTCTCCATTTCACACCTCTCTCTTTCTCTCTCTTTCCCCAGACGACAACACCCATTTCCACCTCTTTCTCTCTTCTCCTCAGGCAAGAGCTCCGTCATGTCCGACATGTACATCCTGATCAACAACGGTGCGCCCCTCAACACGCAGGACAACCGCGGCCTGACGCCCCTCCACCTGGCCTCCCGCCTCGGCAACGAATCCCTGGTGAGGATCCTGCTCGACAACAACGCTCGCCACGACATCCTCGACGTCGACAACTTCCTGCCGATCGACCACGCGAAGGAGAAGGGCCACATCTGCATCATCAACCGCCTGGAGAGCTACGCGGCGAAGAAGGAACGCGAGAAGGACCCGCGCTTCGGACTCTACACCAGGAGGACGGACGAGGATGAGGTGCTCATTCAGAGCCGCTACAAGACGAATATTCCTTGGTACGGCAGTGGCAAGAAGGGGTCCGATAGTCCGGAACTGTGAAAGGAGAGCCTCCGATAGTCCGGCATTATAATAAGGAGAGCCTCTGATAGTCTGGAATTATGATGAGGAGAGCCTTCGATAGACCGGAATTATGGTGAGGAGAACCCTCGATAATCCGGAATTAT